CGCCGGAACCAGGCATCAGCTCCTTGCGTAGGGAAGGGCCGAAGCGTTCCAAGGAGGGGATGAGGGCCAAAGCACAATACAAAGCGGCCCAACAACATCAAAAGCTGGCTGCAATATAAAGCAGACATCTCCCAGGAGGAGAAGGTCAAGCTAGCCTGGGCCGAGCAGCGAGTAGAGAAGGGCCGGCTGCATTACGCTCAGATGCCACAGATGAGGGCGTCGAATGGCGAATATGCCAATAAGGTGGAGGAGATGATGGCCACCAAGAGGCGACGCTCGACTGAGAGTGCCATTAAAGACACTCCCGCGAGCAAGCGGCAACGCGGGCCCAAGAGTGCAGCCCCTCCACCGAAAGTGGCCAAGAAGCGATGTCAGCAATGTGACCAAACGACATTTGATCGTGGCACTCATCGACCGGAGCGAGGAAAACGGCAAAATGTCAGCGGCACAGTGGAAGCTGGTGCACGGGCGTCTCGTCGACGCACTGTTTGCACACATGGAGGAAGACCCCGCGGCCCCAATGCCCACGTTCGATGGTGCTGGGTGGCTAAATGGGGTAAGATCCTAAAGTGCAACGACGATCCAACCCTAAGGTGGCTGACGCGTACGGTCTGCCAACTGGAGGCGATGTGGGAGGGGGCCAAGCTGGAGTTTGTGGACCGGGAGCTTATCCCGTCCAAGCCTAAGGCGAAGGTACTCTTCCCCATCGACCGAGCGCTGAAGCTCCTTCAGCGGCAAAACGCGGACGTGCCAACGACCGATTGGAGGATCCTACACATTGGTAGCCCATTAGATTGCGACAGGCAATTCAGTGGCCGGACTAAAGTCCTCAAATCACAACCTGTTCTACACAACGATGTGTAGCAGGAACAGAACCGTCGTACTCGTACGAAAGGGAATCCATGCTTACCTTATGTCTCATTACAGAACGGATGACCTGAATGTTGTGATGCTGGAAAGTTAGGAAAAGCGCCTTCTGGTGGCTTCCTGCTACATGGCTCACGACAGACCCGCACCACCCGACGAACTCAGGAGCCTGGTGACAGGAGCCGGCACCAAAAACTATCAACTCGTCATCGGGACGGACGCCAATGTCTACCACAATGTGTGGGGAAGCACCGACATCAATGATAGAGGTGAGCCATGAAAGACTCTCCAGATTCTCTTCGCAGATCACAAGTACATTCAGTTTAAGAGCGACTTTAAACATTCTTCGAAGGTTATAGTCTATAGAAACCCCCGGAATACAAACTGGGAAAAGTTTAAAAAGACAGTTACTTCGAAGCTCGCGAGTCTGGGCACAGTGAAATCCGCGGAGGACATAGATAAGTCTCTAGAAACCGTATCCAACGCCGGGAGCCGGGATCTCTCTCTTCAAAGGGACAACCTCAAGGAATTCTTTAAGATCGCCAAACAAGCGAACGAAGGGATCGTCTATGAGGAATACAGACTCCTACTCAGGAGCTACAAGAAAGAAAAACGTAAAGCACAACGGAACTCGTGGAGGACCTTCTGCTCCAACATCGAGAAAGTACCAGAAACCGCACGGCTACGGAAGCTGCTCTCTAAGCAGCCTACCATACAAAGCCAATTAAAGCTAGATGACGGACAGTGGACAGAGGGCAGTGATGAAGCCCTAACAGCACTAATGGAGGAACATTTCCCTGGTTGCACCGAAGTCGCTGATGCCAAAGAGCACCAGGACCTAGCAACCGAGGAACAACCCAACAGATCTGTTAACCACTAAGCGAATCCACTGGGCAATAGACTCCTTTGCGGGCACAAAAGCACCAGGACTTGACGGGGTATTCCCAGCCATGATGCAGGTGACCAAAGAGGCGATTACCCCATGGCTCTCCGCAATATTCACAGCTTGTATATGTACTGGCTATATCCCTATCCAATGGAGAACCTCGAGAGTTGTCTTCCTCCCAAAGGCAGGAAAGTGCAGCCATGCGAGTCCCAAGGACTATAGACCGATAAGCCTTACCTCTTTTATATTAAAAACACTAGAAAAGCTGCTGCACTTACACATCATGAATGAGGTAGGGGAACTGATGTCAACCAACCAGCATGCCTATACTAAAGGGAAATCGGTGGAGACCGCACTACACTCGGTAGTAGCTACCATTGAGAAAGCCCTTCACAATAAAAAGTATGCACTGGGAGTATTCGTGGACATCTCCGGAGCATTCAACAACGTGGCTACGGAAGCAATAACAAATTGCCTGGTAGCGACTAATACACACCCAGCAATCAACCTGTGGATAAGGAACCTCCTAGGTTGCAGACGGGTGCAATCAGAGTGGGGCACCGCTTCCATGGTGAAAGAGGCACACAGAGGCACAACCCAGGGTGGAGTCCTATCGCCCCTACTGTGGAATCTGGTGGTCGACGACCTCATCAAGAGATACGAAAGGAAGGCCCCAATAATAACAGCTTATGCGGACGACATAAGCATACTTATTACGGGTGTTTGCCCATCGACCCTCAGCTCACTAATGGAACGAACACTCAGGGAGATACGCGAGTGGGCGGAAGATGTAGGACTCAGTATCAACGCGGACAAGACAGACCTCATCCTCTTTACCAAGAGATACAAGGTACCGATATGGACACCCCCGAAGATCAATCAAACTAGGCTAACCCCAAAAACACAAGTCAAATACCTGGGTACAGTACTGGATAGTAAACTGGCATGGAAACCCAACGTATTAGAAAGGGTGAAAAAGGCCACCATTGCGCTTTATGCATCCAAGAAGATGCTCAGCAGCACATGGGGCCTGTCTCCGGCTCTGATGCATTGGACTTACATATCGGTGGTGCGACCAACTCTGCTGTATGGAGTCTTAGTGTGGTGGCAAGCTACTGGAAAGAAAACGTATCGTACGGTTATGGAAAGGACTCAGCGACAGGCTCTGCTCTGTATTACAGGGGCGCTGAGGTCAACCCCAACAAAAGCACTCGAAAGCCTACTTAGAATCGAACCCCTAGACATCCACGCCCGTCTGACTGCAGTAAAGGCAGCACAACGCCTCATCGCTTCAGGAAATATTGGAAGGGAAATGACCAGATCAACTGATTACATGACCCCCCAAACATGCCTCGACGTAAGAACAACCGCATCTTTGGGACCTAAAGACTGGAAAATCGGAAGAGACCAAACTGAGCACCCCAATATATATACGGACGGCTCCAAGATGGACGGAGGAGTAGGAGCGGACCTATACTGTACAGACCCTGAGATAAGGCTGTCATATAAGCTACCGGGACATTGTAGCATATTCCAGGCAGAGGTTTTTGCCATCAGGAAAGCAGCATAGGTCGCTCTTCTCGGGATGGATTCCCAGCCCCCAGGGCATCGAAGGAAATGAAGGCGAATGAAATCGAAGGCGCATGCAACAAAGCTAGCCATCACAAACAGAGACAGTTGTAGGAAATGTGACGAGCCTGGGGCAACCGAAACCCTGGAACATAAAATCTGCAACTGTCCTGCTCTCTTAAGGGCAAGGAGGAAGTACCTGGGCGCGCCAGTGCTGGCATCACTGGAAGATGCCTCCAAGAGGACGCCGCAGCAACTACTGGCCTATGCGAAAAATACCTCGATCCTCGAGGACTTCAAAATCCCCTAAGCACTGCCGCGACGGTTCATACGCCCCCCCCCCCCCCCCCCCCCCCCCTATCCGGACAACTAAGGGCCATACTGGCCTATGTGGGGCCCCTCTGAGGGCCGTCCGGGTCAACCTAACCTACGGTTGATTGTGGTGCAGTTAACGCCGTTTTAAATATATTTATACCTTGTACTCCAATAGCCCGATTCCACAAATAGCATTAGCATATTTCTATTGACGTGACTCAGATCTGATAATTCAAAGACTCATGAAAGTGATACACGGGAAACATGGTACATGAGAATATCAGGATAAAAAGACTGCGAATTTATGTTTATAAAAAGTAGATATGTATATACGAACTTACTTATTTTCTCTTTCCCGCTTATTTGGTTTTTTTCCAATATTGTTGCCTATTACGTGCGTCTACTCATTCAGCCCTACAGCAGTTGCCACCAATCCCAAAATAAATGCTGTTGTCGCGAGTTTTGATCGTCACATAGTTTCATAGTTTTTATAACTTATAATTTTATATATTTTTTTTATATTTCAAATATTTTTAACAAAACAAAATTAAAAAAGAAAGTAATTCGTAAACTAAACAATGTTAGGTGACAGTGTCACCGTAAAATAGTTTATAAACGTATAATATATGTGAACTCGCTGTTGGCTTGTTATAGCCAGAGCAACAGATTTTATTGAAAAATAGCAGTCATTTCTTTAGCGGATTTATTACAGCAAATAAAGTCATTCACTTAATTTGATGAATGTTCACTGGTGGAACCCTGCTATTAATCAAACCCTCCCATATCCGGGATGATTTCATATATTTTTGATATTGGTTTATTTTATTTCTAGATGAAAACGAAAAAAAAATAGCTAGTAATATAAGAAATAATAAAACGAGTCGGAGTTAGAAAATTTGTGGGAAGAAAATTGTATTGCTCTGACGGAGAAAATCAATGTTGTGTTTCGAGTTAGTAACAAATGACCAGTCACGCTATGACATTGAATTTCATGGCAATATGAATTTTTCGATGAAGATATACATATGTACATACATTTTGAACGACTGTATGAACCAGCCACTGAGGAATATATAAGTCGTCGCAAAGTTCGGGTCATAGTTTTGTGGAATACAATAGACAGGAGTGTAATAAGTAAAATGTTTTGCCTGAGTAGGACATAATAATTCGATTGGCATTTGGCAATTATTGCTGTCTAGTTGCTTGAGGATTGAGGGATTCATACATACATATGTACATACATACACATGTATATAAGAATATTTCTGATAAAAAAATATTTGATTGGATATATTTCTTAATATCCTCGCATGACACCATTTATACATGATTACATATATATGATTTACAATGCACTTATGTATTTAAGTTTATTAATCGTACATTTCACGTTTATTTTTATAAATGAGTTACACTATGTAATACTAATGTTCCATATCCCTAGAACTAATATTTAACGGTCATGGTTTAATTTTGAATAATCATTACACCTACAAATCTACAAATCTTACCATATAAAAGTAATTAAAATTTCTAGTTAGAGATCTTTATTTTGTTTGTCTGTTGTTGTTCTTTATACTATTGGTTTTTCATTAGAGATTTTTAAACGAGAACTGACAGTATTTGCCCAAAATTTGTCTATCAGTCGGTGTAAGAGGGCCCTAATAGGGAGGCACCATTAAGCGATTGTTGGGCTCGGTGCACGAGTGCATTTTTGTTTCTTTGTCACTAAGACTATTTTTCAAATTCTTGACACGTCTCGCAGAGTCGTATAATTAACTATCTAGCACATTTAAACATTTTTTATATTTACAGCAGCCTGTTCATTATTTTTTCTTGCTCAGACGCTGGCATTACTTGGGCCTGAGGTATACAAAATCCTGTTTTTTTTTGTGAAGGTGAATAAGATTATTCTAGGCGTTCAAATGAACGTATGGTTATGTAAGTATGCAATGGTATGTATGCATGCATGTTTGCGTGTAATCCTTTGTGAAGTAAGTTTTCGCTCATAAATAGTAATATTCTTTATTAATTTGTTTTTTATTTTTATGCTTGTTTGTTTTTCTTTCATTAGGTTAACTTGTTTATTAGCATTGCAGTTATGTTTATGTTTACATATATTAATTCACATAAGAATACGCTTGTGTACTTGTGTATTTCAAGTCAAGCATATTTATATGCGATTAAAAATGCCGGTCAAGATCTTCTTATCCCATATAATACCCCCCATGGATACCTGTACGAATGATTATGTCAATGTATGTCGATTAAGATATAAAAAAAGATTTGCACTATCAATGCTTATATTCCGGGTAGCAACCATTCTCGATGACTTGTCCGGATTGACTGTTGTTGCTGCTGCTGGTATCGCCTGATTGATGTTGAAGCTGTTGCTGATGATGGTGCTGCTGATACAACGGTAGTTGGTGAAGCTGAAGCTGTTGTTGACTTGTTGCTACCGTATCGGCCGACTGTAATACGCGTCGAGTACGAAGCTGGATAGCACTTCCACTGCTTTCCGTCTCCGTTGAGGGTGGTGAGGGATAGAAGTCCCTCTGACTTACACTTGTACCATTTGGGACAACTGGCAAACCCAGTATACAGTTGTTGCTGGCTGCCACCGCCGTTGCCGCTGAGGAGGATTGAGGATCGCCGTGGTGATGATGCGGAAGCTGATGGTGGATAGCGTTGCTCGTTGTAGCCCCTGACATTGGTCCTACGCCGTTGTATGGTAGGGAATCCGAAATTGTTGCGGACTGCGGCTGGTCCAATACCACGACGGATACCACATCTTCACTCGCCCACCGGGCTAACTGTTGTTGAGCTTGAATAAAGTCATCACTAGAAAATAATAATCGTAACAGGAACAACGGTACATGGTAAGAAAGCAGGGGGCGTTCACGGGAAAAATGGAATAGGATTGGTTCAGGTTGAAAAGATTCGAAAAAGATTCTGGTTTTACCGACCCAATAAAAATTTGTAAATTCTGATTAAACATGTACATCTTCATTCAGAAATATTTTCATTTATACTTGGCTTTTAAAAGGTTACGAAAGAATGTGTACATTTATATCAGTGCTCGGCACTCAGACACTCAAGCGGTGAGCAGTGGGCTTGTGTGTGTAGCAAAAACCCTAACATGCTTACACTGGGAAAAACGATTTGTACTTTCGTGCCGGGGCGTAACAAAGGCTTACGGATTTTTATACCAAATTAATTTCGATTTATGGTGAAAGTGGATGTGTGTAACGTCCAGGCCGTTCAGAGCGTTTCCGACCCCATAAAGTATATGTATATATTCTCGATGAGCATCAATAGCCGAGTCGATTGAGCCATGTCTGTCTGTCTGTCCGTCCGTCCGTCTGTCCGTCCCTATCAGCGCCTAGTGCTCAAAGACTATAAGAGCCCCGCCCACTTTCGCCCCCAAAAAGGACGAAAATCCAAAATTTTAAAGATACGAGAAAACCAAAAAACGCAGATCGTAGAGAATAACCATATCTTATAGACTGCAGAACTGCAAGAAATTGGTTCGAATTGAATGGAAGAAATTGGAATTGAATCTAGAGATGGATTGACTCGGGTCGTAGACATCCATATCATCTTCGAGTCATCAGTACGAACGTACCAGCGGAAATGCAGGATATAGCAGCGATGCAGCGCAATGAAAGGGAGAGCGTGATAACTTACACGCCAAGAGCGAGCTTTCGTCGAGTCTATACGTGCTTATATACACACTAATTAACGAAGCCGGAGTGTAAATTTAGTACCATCTTTCTATTGCCTATCAATTCACTTTCTGTACCATTTTGGTCATTGCACTAAGCTAACGTAATGAAAGCGTATCTTTGCCTTTGCTCGCTCAGCACCATGCTCTCATCTCATCATCTATTCTTTGTCTATGATCGCTTTTGTTATCTTTTCTTTTTTATGGTGTCGGTAACCCGTCAGCTCTATTTTAGTTACCGCTTGATATAGTTGGAGAAGACCTTTTTTGTCCGCAATCTATTACTTTGGCTCGAGATCGGCTCGCTTGCCTTATCCAAGTGTATAACTCTTCAATAATATTTGCAAAAAGCTCTGGCATCTTCGGACACCCTCAACACACAAACTACCTACAATACAATTTATGATGTTTTCCGAAATAATTAATTTATGAAATTATTGAACAATTTAAGTCAGCGTTAAAACTCGTTGTCTCAACAGTGTTTGAAATGGGTAAAGGTCCATTATTTTCGTATTGAATTGTTGACATTCGTGAGTAAAAGGTTTCAGTTTTTATGAAGTTTATCTTATATTCTTAGGTTAGTGAACCCTTTGTATAATGAACCTCTGGAATCTTGATTAATATAACTATTTTGAATGAACATGAATTATAAATAAATAACCACGATTCTGTCTAAGTACATAGTGCCAATGATACAGCGAGTGTAATAATGAAGCGGTAGTTACGTTAGGGGCCATGCCAATATCGTTCCATGCATTGTCGAAGGTTGGGTGGCTATAGAGGAACTAGTGATCTCCTACAGGTGTGGTCACTAAATTAAAATACGCGACTACCGGATGAAGCGGTAGTTACGTTAGGGTCCATGCCATCATCGTTCAATGTATTGCCGATGGTAGGGTGGGTATAGAGGAACTTGTGCTCTCGTACAGCTATGATCACTAAATTAAAATACGCGAATACCGGATTCCTTCTTGCCATCTATGCCGATAGGGGATTGAGTACATTTGTTGTTTTTTTTGTGCAATTAATTTTCATAATATGGCGAGCTCAAGGAAGTATAGAGATAGGAAAGACACCGACCCCTTCCGGCGAGCTGAGCACAGAGCGCAGTATCGTGCACTAAACCCGATTCCCTTTCCTGCCGAGGCTGCAATGCAAACAATACTTAGCCAACCGTGCCATTACATTATAACCTGTATCGTATAAGCCTCCCTGGTGTTCCAAGTATTTGTTATACTTAAAAAACAATTGATCCAGGCTCTATTAAAAGTACCAGAAGAAGGGCTTCAAGTCGGTCTTTGCTCTATACTCCTCCGCTCGTTCTCTGTTCCTTGCCGTTAATAGTTAGTGTTATAATCAATACCTTTCACAATGTAGTAGAAACTTTCGTAGTGATCCTAATAAATTATTTCCTACAAAATCTTTTCCTCCTCTTATTACCTGAACAAAACTGAAGCTTCTGCTGTTGGTATTGAAAATTTATTCGCTACCTTTTTCCAAACAACGTACTCGTCTCATATTTACAACGCATCCACTCCGTATCCCTACCATCTACCTCAAGCTAACAGCATTGTTCTGCCTATTTTCGAGGAAAGCATTGTTCTGGAAGGTTTGTCATCTATGGACATATCGTTTTCTGCGGGTCCAGAAAAGGTACCAAGTTGCATTTTAAAATACTGTGCCCAATCCCTTTGCAAACCCTACCCCTTTCTCTTCAACCTCTCTTTGGAACAGTCTTGTCTACCAGTAATTTGGAATGAGTCCATTATCCCGCTTCACAAAAAAGGTTTAATATCAAATATTGAAACGCATCGTGGTATCGCAAGGCTTTCCGCCATCCCGAAGCTTCTTGAATTCCTGGTCACCCGGCAACTGAAACATCTTTGTTGCAGCTTGATATCTCCGTCGCAGCACGGTTTTTTCAGACATCGTTCAACATCGACTAACCTTCTTGAGTTTTCTAACCTAATCCACCGTAGTTTTCAAATTGGTTTGCAGACGGATGTAGTTTTTACGGACTTCAGCAAGGCATTCGATTCTGTGAAGCATGCTCTGCTTATTCACAAGCTTTTTTTATTAGGGTTCCCAACGAATCTTCTAGATTGGATTTTGTCCTATCTCTCTAACCGTACTCAACGTGTTTTGTTTTCTAACGTGTTGTCAAATACTGTTAATGTTACTTCAGGTGTGCCACAGGGAAGTCATCTGGGCCCGCTTCGGCTTATTTTATTTGTGAATGACCTTCCTCAAGTTATAACATGCTCAACTACACTCATGTATGCTGATGATGGTAAACTCTGTCTTTCTTACTCTGATTGGTATTTGCACACACGCCTTTAACTGGATCTAAGTTAACTACTATTGTGGTGTTCAACTAATCTTCTTTTTCTGAACCTTTCCAAATGCAAACTTATGACATTTTACCGTCGCGCTCCACATTTTGTCTCATAGCCATATAGCTGCAACAGTAAATAAAGCTAAGGGTGTTTTAGCGTTCATCAAGCGTTGGTCCAAAGAGTTTGACGACCCGTACGTTACGAAACAACTGTATATCTCGTTAGAACGTCTGATATTGGATTATTGTTCTTGTGTGTGGAGCCCGCAGTATAAAGAGCATCAGGTTGTTATTGAATCCGTGCAAAAGCAATTTTTAATTTTTGGCCTTCGTAACTAAAACTGGGACTCGGGTAGAATCTTGCCACCCTATCGGTCCAGACTAAATCTTATTGACCAGCCGTCGTTGCACCATCGCAGAATATGCAATGGGGTAATGTTCGTGCACAAGCTCCTTCTCGGGATTGTTGACTCCCAAATTCTCTTGGATCAGATTGACTTCGCCGTTCCATCTAGACCTACGCATACTTTTATTCTAATTATGCCCAACAGGAACCTTTTAGGGTTATATGGCCCAACTATAATTCCCACTGCCATACCTTATCCCCTGAACTATCCCTTAAACTTATAGCATGTAATATTTATAATCACATTAATTTAACAAACTTTTAACTTCTCTAACTTGGGGTGGGTCAAAATTTCACTTGTAACAGTTAGATTTATCAGGAGTTTGTATACCAAATTTGGTTGCCCTAGCTTTAAAAGTCTTTGAGATCTCTAGATGCCAACGATTTTAGTCCTTTGCGGGGGCAGACGGGGTCGTCAGCATCTCAGAGGCGAAATTTTGAAATACACTGGTGCTGGTTCGATATCACAGGAGTGTGGATACCAAAATTTTGGTTGCTCTAGTTCTTATAGTCTCTGAGATCTACATAGGTGCTCATTTTTTGATATTTGGATATACAAACAGTGACATATTGCAGAAGTCTGGATACAAAATGTCGTTGCTCTAGCTCTTATAGTCCTTGAGCACTAGGAGCTCATAGGGACGGACAGACGGGCGGACCGACAGACAGACATGGCTCAATCGACTCGGTTATTGATGCTGATCAAAAATATATTAACTTTATGGGGTCAGAAACGCTTCCTTCTGGACGTTACACACATCCACTTTCAGCAGAAATATAATATTTGGAGTATCGAGAATACAAATGGAGTGTTTGGAATTTTATCAATTGAGAACGGCTGGCCGCTTTAGCTCAAATTTGTATTCAGTGGGTCGTCTTTGCTTGGAGAAGGTTTTTACGAAAGAATATTTTGGGAAAACCCAACCGCGATCGCGAAACAACCTTGGGTGAAATCATGCAATAAGTAATCAGAACGTCCGTTATAATATAAAGCAAGAAGAACGTGCAGAAGAAAATGAAAGGAGACGTGCCCATATTGCACAGGATCACGAAGCACAATTACTCGTATCACCTCAAATTCGAAAAAAAAAATTTGATTTGGAGACAACCAGTCATAAGTGTAGATTTTTATTACGATGCTTGCGAATATGATTTCGAAATCGTCCACAAAGATCTTCGCTGCACAACAAAATCTAAACTTTTGTCTGATGATTGACGTTTATCACTTGGTGTTTACTAATCTGAGATCGCTGTTTCTAAAAATACACTTATTTTCCTACGAGGTTCGCTCAAAAGTCGCCTTTTCATAACGTTATTTTTTTTACCGTTTTCTCGATCAAGATTGTGTGCATAATCCGAATCATTTTTGTTCAATT